CAGGCCACCAGAAGGCCAGTGGGGGCGTGACCAGGAGGAGTGGCTTGCCACAGAATCCACAGTTTCAAGGCCCTTGAACTCTGGTGGGTATTGCACCTGGCGGATGGAGGGTGAGCAATGGCTGATGCAGGCCCAGTCACCCTCTCCCAGCTTTGCCCATCACCACTGCTGCAGTCCTGTCCCCTCAGCCACTGGCCATGCCTCTGACCCAGGCTGGAACTAAAACTGCTGCTGCAGCACAGGGGATATGGCAGTAGTGGCAGTTCCAGCTCCTGCAATAGGCACGTGGCAGAATTGGAGCTGCCACCACTATCACCATGTGCCCTGAGCTGGATCTGCTGCCACAGGTGCCTTGCACCCTGGGCTGGATCCAGCCCACAAGGAGCTGTCCAGATCCAGTCTGGGGCACAGAGTGAATTGATACCCCTGATCTAAGTTATCTTTAATCCAACTGTACTGGAATCATAAGCAGAAAATTGCTTACATTTTCTGTGGTGATTTTCAGTTTTTGGGGATCCAGCTTGAGGACCTACAAATCAGTCTGATTTTAATACTGTGATAAGCATATATGACCTTTGGAAATTGGGTCCTTTTATTAGAAATTGAAGTTCCAAATATCAGTTATCACATTTGAAAATTCAGGCTATGGCTCTAAAATGAACCTATCCTAATAAGACCTAAAAGATAACTTAGATCTATATTAATATCAGGAGCTTATACCTCATATTATAAATATCTTTAAGGGATGGAAGCAAATAATGATATCAGAAAACTGCATAATTTGAATGTTTACCCATCAATTTGATAATTTCTTTTGCAATACTTTGTAAAATAAATGCATGTACCCAGTCTCCCATTAATATATACTTATTTTTAATATATTAAATCAACATAGGTTGAGACAGTACTGTAGAGAAGGACCATAAGCCTTACTGTAGACTATAAGCCAAGAGTGTGCTTTTGTTGGAAAATAAGCCAACAACATAATCCTGTATTATTTGGAGTATCTATTGCAAATGAAGGGAAGTAAATCTTCTGCTGTATTCAGCACTGGTGAGGACTTACCTGAAATACAATCATCAGTGTTTCAGTTACTTCCCTTGGTGACTATTGCTCAAAGATTTCTATAAAAAGGAAGTTTTTTTCCCTTATGTTCAGCTTTACTTTCCTTTCTTGCAATTTCATTCCATTACTCCTAGTTATTACTCCATTGAATAATCACAATAAGAATTCTGTCTTGGTATTAGTACCCTTTAGTTGTTTATAGTTTATCACCATGTACTTAGCTCATTTTCCTTGCAGTTCAGTCCTTCCAGTTCCCTAATCATGTTTGCTGTCGCCTCCAGTTTGTGCATGCCTTTATGACAACATTACAGGCCTTTAACGGGTGTGTGTCAAGATTGCATTGGAGTAGTTTTCCCCTGTTTCTTTTCTCAACTCACTTTTCTTTCAATCAGAGCCAAGGGCAATTTGGTGGCTTTCAATCTACACAGAGGTTCTGGGAAAAGATGACCTCTCTCTCAAATTCAGTGACTTGCATGGCTCTGACTGGGTGTCATCCGCAATGCCCTCACTGCACTGTGATCTGAACACTGTTACTGGAAAGACATCTCAACCATTCTGGGAACCATTCTGACCATTTCAAGTAACAACAGTACAAAATGTTTCCAACTATTACAGATTCTTACTGTCAACTGTCTCTGTTTATATCCAGGTTTTTAAGTCTCATTGATCTTTCTCCTCAGTACTTCTTAACGGGACTCACATACTCTAGTACATTACAGACAAGTTGTAAGATACATTCTGCTCCTCAAACAAGCTTGCTCCTAGATTGTGTCTTTAATAGATGTCAGAGCACTTTAGGAAAGAATGATCATTATCTACCCTTCTTTAAAAATAACAAGATGAAAACACACAGATAGAATCCAAGATGCTGTACCCAAAGGTCAGGAATGTTTTGGGGTTTTTTTATCATAGAAATGTACAAAAGTACACCTGTAAGGAGCCTCAAGAGGTCATCCAATCCAACCTCTTTCTCAAGGCAGGATCATCCCCATCTAAATCAGACCACATACTCCATGCTGATTGGATTGTGTATTAAAAGTCCTTCCTGTTTCCAAATGTGGCAGTTGGTCTTCCCTGAGCAAAGCATGACCCCCTAAACAAGAAAATGCTGGAGTTTTAGTCCCAGTAGGAGCTTCAGCACATATCAGTCAAAGCCCCCTGACACTTGTAGGATCATAGGTAAGTAGGGCTGGAAGGGTCATAAGGGTCACAAGGTCATCTAGTCCAGCCCCATTTCAAGGCAGGATCATTCTTGGCTAAACCATCCCAGCCAAGTGCGTCTACCCTGCTCTGGAAAACTTCCAATGATTGCATCTTTAGAATTTCTCTAGGTAGCCAGTTCTAATGCTCGACCACCCTCACAATAAAAAAAAAATCTCCAAACAGCAAACCTAAATTTCCCCTGCTGCAGCTTAAGACCATTGCTCCTAGTCATCTCCCCTACAGCCACAGAAAAAGCCTCTCTCCATCCTCTTCAGGTATTTGACAACTATTATCAAATACCCCAGCAGTCTTCTCTTCTCCAAACTAAATAACCAAGTTCTTCTCCAGACTTTCCTCGTAAGTGTTGCCACCAGGCCCTTACTCATTTTTGTTGCTCTGCAATAGACTCTTTCCAAACATCCTTCTTGAAGTGCGGGGCCCAAAACTGAACACAGTACTCCAAGTAAAGTCTTATGAGTGCTGAGTAGAGCAAAAAAATCACTGCCCTTGATTTCCAAGTGTAACTTCTCTCACAAGGGAGTGCAGGTGTGTGGCAGTGGTAACTCAATTTCCCTCAACATCATCTCAGTTTAACAAGAAAGTACAAGTAAGCATGATTATTTATACACATAAGTATCCAAATATCAAGCTGTAGCCCAGCATAGAAACCTGATAACACAATTACCCCTTTAAACAATGCAATTTTAAACCCCTATTCCAAAAAGTTTCACAAGGACCCTCCAGAGTTAGTGTCTTCACTTTGTGCACAGCCCAAGCTGTCCCAGATGGCACAAGGACTTCCAATGCCTCATCATCACATTGACTGCACTGACTTCTGCAGCTTTTTCAGTGCTACTCAACTGGGTCCTGCTGGGGTCTCCTTTGTGAGGAACTCAATCCTTTACCCACCTGCACTCAAACCAGGCTCCTCCACAACCTCCCTGGGACCTTTTTCTGTTGTGCTTGGAGGCATGAGTGACTGGTGCCTCCTGAATATGGCGGGGCATCCGCAGAAGCAACTGACAGCAGCGGCCCTGTCAGGGAGGGCATCAGCCCTACCGACAGCATCAGTGTTGGCTGTCAGGGGGGGCACCAGCCCCTTCAGGGGGGGCACATGCACCCCCATGCACCGCCTACCAGTCACCTATGCTTGGAGCATACCAGGGAACAAGGCTTATCCCATGCTCTAACCATTTTGGCTACAGGCAAAATAATCCCCATGTTGCAGCTCCTCTTTCCCATTTCCCCTCTTGCTAGCCCTCAAAGCAGTCTGGAAGCTGTAGTTTAACTCATTGTCCCCTGTTTCTCATTTTTGTGGGCTTTTTATAGCCCCTCCAATTTCCTCTCCTGTTGGCTAGAGACAACTTTTTGCTAGTTCCCAAGGCAGGTTGGGAGTCATGGTTGGGAGCTCCCTGGATCTGGCTTTTCTGGGCTTCCTCTCTGCTTAACCCTTCACAATCCAGTGGCAGGGTTACATTGATGACACTCCTGTTACTACAGGTCAGTATGCAACAAGAGCACACTGCTGTAGCAACGGGAGAGGAAATACCATCCCAACCCATGTTGTAATCTCATGCCCTAAAGCATGAGAAAAACAAGCACCCTCTCTTCTGCATTGCAACCTGGAAACTGCAGACACAGCTTTGCCCATCACACATCCTAACTGGGGAGACAGAACTTTGGTTTTTGTCATCTTATCCCTCCCCTTTACTTATTCCATCTATTTTAATCTTCTTTTGTAAACAAGTTATTGGTTGTGGTCTGCTTCATTCTTCTGTTAAGATTCATCCTCTTCAGTTTCCTTTGAGCTGCAGAGCTTTTCTCATGATCTCCATAGGATGCAGGTATGAGGGTCTCCTAGACTTCTAACTGTTACTCTTTATGGGGTACTCCAGGAATAGCTACGCCTAGATTATCCTTGACCAATGCTTATCCCTCCTCTTCTGGAAAACCTTCAATGAGGTTCTACAACTTCCCTATCCCTAGACAGTCTATTCCACTACCTCAGTCTTCAAAAAATGAAGATTTTTTTTTCCCCCTAATATCCAATCTAAATCTACTTTGCTGTAATTTCAAGCCATTGCTACACATCCCACTCTCTGCAGAGAGAGAAAATATATTTTCCATCTTCTTTGTGGAATCCCTTAAGATATTTGAAAGCTATATCCGACAAAACATTTCCATGTTGCTTACCCAAACCATACATTATCACAAACCTCTCTCTAAATGTAAATTTTCACT